AAGCAAAGTTTCAGAGTTTAACGCACTGCGTGAACTGTTATTGTTGGAGGAATTCAAAAACTGTGTTCCTGAGCGTACGGTGCTGTACCTGAATGAACAAAAAATTGCCACTTTGCAAGAGGCAGCTGTCCTGGCAAAATAATTTGCTTTGACGCACAAAAGCGTGTTTGTGGGTAAATCTGAATCACCCTATCATGAACAAATGAAAGAGGACACAAAGCCGCACCCTCAACAACCTAGGGGTTCCTCGGGTTCCAAGTCTGATAGACAATGTTTTTACTGTCACAAAGTGGGGCATATAGTTTCTGAGTGTTTGGCTCTTAAACATAAACAAGTGCCCCAGCAATTAAAACAAGCTAAAGGGGTTGGCCTAGTCAAGTCGCTAAACTGCCCCTCTAATGTGACCACGAGTGAACCTGATAAGTGTTTTAAACCCTTCATTTTTGATGGTTTTGTCTCCTTAACAGGGTTTCCTGGGGATCCGAAGCCCGTGAGAATACTAAGGGACACAGGTGGCTCACAATCATTTCTATTGGTCGATGTTTTACCGGTCAGTGATGAGTCATCCTGTAACACAAGTACAATAGTGCAAGGTATTGGGATGGCCTACATACCAGCACCGTTACATTGTGTTCATGTGCAGTTGAGGTTAGCCTCTGGTTTTTTCAAGGTTGCAGTGAGAAACTTATTTCCTATTCAGGGTGTTGAGTTTATAATGGGAAATGATATTGCTGGGGTCAAGGTACTCCCTGTTCCTGAAGTGGTGGATAAGCCCAGCTGTATCCTAGGAGAGGATGAGCTGTTGAAATCCCACCCTGATGTGTTTTCTGTCAGTGTTCTTACCAGGTTGCAAGCTCATAAGCTGGAGGAAGTGAACTTGAGTGAGACTGTTCTTGGATCTTGCAAAGAAAAGTGTCTGGACTTCTTTAAGTTGCTTGAAGACGTTTCACCTCTCACCCGAGAAGCTTCTTCAGTTCTAAGGTCAAATGGTGGAGAGTCCCAGATATAAACCTAGTGGGAGTATCCCCCCACAGAGGGACAAAAGGACCCCCTGAT